AACGGATTGTGGGATGCTTGTTAACATTTTTAGCCTTAAGTGATGTAAACTAAAGCACAATTTCTACCCGTATTAATAAAAACAGACCTGAAGTCCATAATCCGCGGAGTTCTGCCTCGTGCGGCATAAGATGCTTTAGATTTTGAACGGATTGTGGGATGCTTGTTTGCCTCAGGCTAAATCCGGAGCTCATTTCTCCTCAGTGCTGGCGAAACATACATTTGAGTTGATCATTTTTGTTGGTTTCTAGTGTGATACGCTTGTTACGAAGACGTAGTAACAGCTATGAGCTTCGTATAAGAACATAACAGCCTAGCGTTGAGGAAGAGAAGATGTAGTCATTGTGTATGTGCTGCATAGGTCTAGAAACAACACGGGACTGTATCTAATGCTCAGACTAAAGCTTCTTGTATTTTTTTCCTCAGGTTTATTTGACCTGATCAAAGCATCATCATGCCAGGAAGGTAAGACATAAAAGCTGTCACAAATATAATCTGAATTGCTGTGTAGGTCAGTGTGATGCCAGGAATGCATTTAATATTATAAAGCCATTTAACACTACAATACTTTGCTGAAAAAGCAGTTGTACAAACATTGCCATCTAACTGATAGTTTATACATTTGAGCAATTAAAGGCTTTTTACTGTGATTGTAAAAAATATTTTGCTATATATATATATAAGCTATTAGAATTTCATCTTACTTTTTGGTCATAGAAATATCTAATTTTTGATTAGTTTGTGCCTCTAGATAAAGTTGTATTTTCCCTCTCATTCTTCAGCGTGTGCTTGATATTCTCACTATATCTTTATGAGCCACAAATGCTGATGTATCAAATATGATTAAAACAAACAAGAATTGAACGTTTTTCTTTTATATTTAAAAAAAAAAAAGGTGTTTGACTATGTGTCAGACTTTATGGGGTTAAATGTTGCTTGGCTCATGCATATAGCTGAAGATAAATAAATAAAGCGTTTTTACCTTGTGTCTCTTTTAGGTTGTGGAGCAAGGCCATCTTTGCTGGCTACAAGCGTGGCCTGAGGAACCAGCGTGAGCACACTGCTCTGCTCAAGCTCGAGGGAGTCTACAACCGCGACGAGGTCGACTTCTACCTGGGCAAGCGTTGTGCCTACGTCTACAAGGCAAAAAAGTAAGTGATGCACAGTGAAGTCTTTATGGGACGAGTGTGAGGAAAGACTTGAGTCTGTGCTGCTGTCAGTAATACGTTTGTCATGTTTTTGCTGTTTGAGTTTCTTTTAGTATTTTTCCAAAATACGTTTTTTTTAATCTAATATGTTTAACCTTCATAATCAGTTTTTTATTTTTTGGTCATCACTGGCATTCAGCTCATTGAATGTCATGTTTCATGGCTATGAATGATGATTCAATGGTTATGAATGACTTCCGTGTTGACATTAAAGGGGTCATATGATGCTTTTTTAAGGATCATTATTTGGTGTAAAAGAATATGTTGACATGCTTTAATGTTCAAAAAACACATTATTTTTCAAATACTGTACATTATTGTAGGTCGTCTATGCCCCGCCTCTCTCAAACGCTTCGTTTTCTACAAAGTCCCTCCTTCCGACAAGCGCAGTCTGCTCTGATTGGCCAGCTGACCCAGTGCATTGTGATTGGCCGAACACCGCAAGCACTCGTCGGGAATGTACCGCCTCTTACCATAATCGCGAGCTTCATCTTTCAAAATAAATGTGAAGAAAGAGCCCGAAAGGGGAACAGAGTCGCGTGACAGACACAGTGATGAAGCTGGTATGTGTTTGCAGTACACAAGCCACGGTTAAGACAGCTGACTCCACTGTGATGTGATGCTCTCTCTCTCTCGCTCGCTAAAAACTCCACATTTGAACAGTCAATAGCAAATACTTAAACTAATAACAAAACAGTAGCTGATTCAGAAGCGCCAGATTGTCATAGCAAAGTCAGAATGCCCTCCTCTCCTAGGTTCACGAAACGGTCGTCCATAAAATGCATTGCTGTTCTGTTGTAAGTAATCTTAAAGATTCCTAAATGCATCTACTTTCGGAAGGCCAAATAAAGTGCTTTTGCTTTCGCCTAGAAACACACAGCGTCTCCCTGACATGCTGCTTCAACACTAACTGCGGTTACTGAAACCACGCCTTCTTTCTTTGCGTGCACATTTGGGCGCATTATGCTAATATTTCCACATAGTGATGTAGATATGTGGGGGCGTGTTGGAACGAGCCGTTTTAGGGGGGCGTGGCAGAGTCTTTGATAAAGAATATCTCTTTGGTTTTGAGACTTTAGTCTTTCCAACTTTAGGGATCTTATCTATGCACAATCAGCTTGTAACACTCCAAAGAGAAAGGAAAACTTGAAATCGCATCATATGACCCCTTTAATAGACGGTTTGAATGTAATTGTGGAACATATTTTGACATTTGCATGCAGAGACATGTTTCATCATATCTATCGATGGTCTTGTTTGGGTTCTGTCCATAGTTGGCGCTGTTATTTAAAGTGAGTTTTGTATGTTGTCTGAAGGAACACCGCAACACCTGGCGGTAAACCCAACAAGACGCGTGTCATCTGGGGTAAAGTCACACGGGCTCATGGAAACAGTGGAATGGTTCGTGCCAAGTTCAAGAGCAACCTTCCAGCGAAGGCTATCGGGCACAGGATTCGTGTGGTAAGGGTCTTAAAGTTTCTTTCAAATATCAATGTCTGTCCCTGAAATGCGTACTTGCTAGTCTTACAGACTTGTAAGGCTGGTTATATTTTGTGTTTGCTAGTGTGTTCTGTCCATTTTCATTTGTCCAGTATATGCATGCTTTTATATTGTGGCAGTGACAAAAAAAATGATTCATGCTGGTTTAACAATTTCGCCAAAGGTCTTGCTGATGTTGCTCTTAGTGCTACCTTGTAAGTTTTAATCAAGTTTGTCTGTTGGCATTTTAGCAAGTAATTTAACTTTGTGGCGGTCTCTTGAGCTTTATTGTAAAGTTTTGTCATTGAAGGTGTATTAATTGATGATATTCCTGCAATGAAATGTGCATCAGAAACCGCATTTCCTCCAAAGTTACACTAGAAAGGAGGACAAACCATTCTGAATACACTGATTGCAAGAACCGTGTCACTAGAGCAACTTGGTCTTGTGCTTTTGCCTTCCTCAGGGTCACGGTGGGGTTTTGTAGGTCTCTCACATGTGGCAACACACCTGACGAGATTTTGGAAGATCCTGTCGTATTTGATGTATGCCAGGGGTGTCCAAACTTGGTCCTGGAGGGCCACTGTCCTGCAGAGTTTAGCTCCAACTTGTCACAGCACACGGTGCCTGGAAGTTTCTTGTGTGCCTAGTAAAACCTTGATTGGCTGGTTCAGGTGTTAAATTAAAAGTCTGCAGGACAGTGTCCCTCCAGGCGCAGGATTGGACAGCCCTGATGTAGGATGTTTGGGCACAAATGCATTCCCTTGTACTTTACAATCTGCTTCAGGTTTAAAAAAGGGGGACTGTACAGTTGTTGATGCTTGACTTGATGCTGTAAATGTATATGTAATTTGAATGCCATGTTGACTGTCAATATGTTTGTGGCAAACTGTATGAAATGCTTCATTTCCAAAAAAAGCTGCAAGTATTCAACAATTAACTCATTTTTTGCTTTTGTTTTTCAGATGCTGTACCCATCTCGTGTGTAACCTGCTTTTGTGTACAGACAATAAACAATTGGTCCAAAAAGTTGCCTGTCTGATCTTCCTTCAGTATGCAAAGCATAGTTTCTGCAACCACTTTTGCAATTTTCTGCCCAGTTTTTTTTTTCTCTCAATAGAGCGACGTCTGAGAATTGTAGTGTTCGTATCGAGCCAGATTAGCAGAGGAACTGATGCTCCAGTTGAACCATCTGTAGAAGAACTGAGAAGAGCACAATTGAGGGAAATCACAGGTTTCATCATTAACACTTCCTTACTCAACACTGGAGCACTTACGAGAACATTTTGTCTGGGTTTAGTGTAGATCAGGATACAGAGACGGGACATTTGACTTCATGGTAAGTAATAGCAACTGCTGAGCTTGTAAGAAACCCCATTCAGTGACAGTTAACTGTCTTCATCTGACTGAATTAATTAGCGTAGTCAAACTAGAGTGTAAGTGAGTTTTATGCATTGAGTGTACCGTGCATAAGATGAGTAGTGACACCCAAAGCTATCCACACACTAAATACATTTATTTTTAATTTTTAAATGCTGTCCCGTGATGTTGGGCAGACAAACGTGGCATGTTTCTAACGTTAATATTTATATCTTAAAAATAAAATTGTTTTTTAAAGTGAAGCTGGTAAGTGACCTTAATAAAATGTCTTGTAACACTTATACAATGAGATAGGAAGTTATTGTAATTCCAGCTACTTGCCTGGTGTGTATGTACATGTAATAGACTAGTAGCAGGTATTAGATCGATTTGTCTAAAGTGTGTGTGTATATAAATATATATATTACTAGATAGACGCACATTCGCTAGAAGTAATGAATCTACAATGATTTGAGTTCGTTTATAATATAACGTTTTGTTGAAATAGCTTGCAGCTAATGTATAAATTATATGGATAATAAACTTATTTAATATATATTGATATTTTAAATAATTAATGGCTGCATGTAGAAAGGAAATGCATGGGTGTATTTGTGTGTTTCTACATAATTGCACTCTGAACGGGTCAGGTGTAGTTTCCGATGAAACCGAGAAACAGGAATAAAATCCGCATATTTTGCAGAATCATCATCGCGCTGTACTTTGTGGGATTGTAAAATTCCACTCCAGAGCCTCGCGCTTATTAGCACACTGCAATACTAGCGTGTGACTGCAGAGGCTGCGCGTCGCCTTCAGTCGCGCGATAAGCCCCGCCCACTAACAGCGCTCTGACGCATTCACGGGGAAGGGAATTGTGGGAAACGTAGTTCTACCAAATCGGCACTTTAAACGATGTGAACTTGTAGCGAACGCTCGCTACACTACATTCCCCATAACGGCGTCCATCTGAGTCCTTCAAAATAGCTGGTTTAAAACGAAGTTGTTTTGCTCCCTCCGCTGTAGAAGATCCGCAGACCAGCCAGACGCACAGGTATCTGCTGCAGGGGACGTGTTTTAATCTTTTGTTTGATATGTAAAATAAGATTTATTGCAGTATAATTCGCATGCTACGCATTTGTAAGTCTGACACCATCATTTAAAAATGTTTTAAACGGTTTCTGATTTTTAGCATCATTTGACATGTCACGGTAAATTATTACATTGACTTTAAAGAAGATTAAGCGAACAACCGAAACGCATCTTTCATGTGAATAAGCGCTAACGTTACTGCGAAGGACATCGTGTTTCTCGGTGTGTTAACGTTATATCCTGATGTAACGCTAGGTGACATCTATTGTCTCAGTAACGTTACAAGTCTGATGCTATGCTCTTGTTTAGACGGCGTTGAAACGCATTTGTGCAGCTCGTATTATTTTTGAAGCGTGATGTTTAATTATAATCCAGATCTGGATACATAACGTTATATGCCACAGAATTAAGTGGGAAATTATTATCCAAAAAAAAAAAAAAAAAAAAAAAAAAGCAAGCATCAATGGCATCATTGCTATAAGAATGTGTTTATATAAGATGCGCACTTTGCCGTAATAAAACACTGTTGATTATATATCTCCCCGTGGTTTGTTTAATCTAAAAAAGCCCGTAACGTTAGATGTCCCTGAATGAAACCCGTGTGGTTTGTTGTCTTCAATCTTGTTTTTGGGAACTGGTTGTTCTCTTCTGGTTAGAGGAGATGTGGGGCCTATCACACTCTGATAAACACGAGAAAGACCTCAAGCTTTAACCAGTGCTATCCAATGTCATCTAATGCAGATATCATTTGTGTTTTTATCGTGTCTTGCGAGATTGTAGCTATTAGTCCAAGTGTAATCGTGTATTCGCCAGATAGACGCCGCACTCTCGCTGTACAGATCAATATATTCATGTGTATGTTCATTTAGGACAGCATCATATCTGTCCGGTAATGTCCGAATACTGGCCGTGTGTCAAAAGCTAGTGAGCATAGTCAACATCAGTAGTACACTATTAGTAGCAACGTTTTTTGGTCTGTGCAGGCGCGTGAACCATGAAAAGAACATGTTCGGGCATACCGCAGAAAAGAAATGAATAATAAACTGTATTTTGCCTAAAGTAACTCAAGCAAGTAAGCAAGTAAATGAAAGACCACTGAGATGTTTTGCGTTATTGCATACAGTTGAGCACATTTCCCCTCACTTTCATTACCGTAATGCACTAAAAGCGAATTCTCATTACTAAAAGTAAGTATAAATATGTAAATAAATACTATAAGTCTTACTATAATATATGTATTTTCTCTAGTGCAGTAAAAATGGCTAAGAATGATCATTTAGAATAATAAATATGTATTGTAAGCAGTGTTGGGGGTAATATATTACAAGTAACGCGAGTTATGTAATCGGATTACTTTTTCCAAGTAACATTACTTTTTAATTTACAAGAGAATATCCGAGTTACTTTTTGAAATAAGTAATGCAAGTTACTTTTTTTCTTCTTCAATGTATTGATCATGTTGAGAGAAATCAGATGTTACTGTAGTAATAAATTAAATATGAATATGCATTAATTCATCTCACTCACACACAAAAACACACAGATTCTGTATTCCTCAAAATGAATACAAATAATGCAACTCAGAATATGACGCAAACCTGCAATAATTAAATGTTAAACAACACAAATATGCTTTATGTATTTAATCCCATTCTATTAACAATGTCTTTGCTTCTGAGCTTCGATGATCCAGTTCAACCGTACTAATAAACACAAATTACTCTAGACGAACATTTGTGTCTTTGTTTATTGCTGAAGCGTGTTGAAATGTCTTCTTCTGCATTCTACTGTACGGATGTAAATGTACTTTCCCTTCAGCCTGAGGCGCATTCATTTCACTTTTGGTGTGAAAAGACTTTTATATTTGCTAAAAATAGAACTTTTTTTATTTTAAAAACAAACAAGCAAGCCCTGTCCAGATTTAAAAAGTAACGCATAAGAAACGTAACGCATTACTTTCCATAAAAAGTAACTAAGTACCGTAATTAGTTACTTTTTTATGGAGTAACGCAATATTGTAATGCATTACTTTTAAAAGTAGTTTAAAAGTAAAGTATTTATACATAAGTATAGTATTTGTTGTATTGCCGTTCATCGATGCTTACGTAAATTAAATAAATTATATTATTTTAATGTATTTATTTACCTCAACACTGTAAAAATGGCTAATGGGAATTGCAAAATGTTTGGATGCATTACAGTCATGATCATTTGGGGTGAAAATTTGGTTGGTTGTCATGAAAATATTATATATTTATGGTCCTTTTCATTTGATTTTGTTAAATTCAACAAGAATGTATGTAGTCTGGCCAAATGATGGCCATAAATGCTATTTAGGTAGGCAGCTCACTAGGTTTTGAGACGACTGAAAGTGCCTACTAAAAATGGTTAAAAAGTTTGTCCATATGTCCATTATTTGTCTACAACAATACCATCTTGTCAGACTTCAAAGGTAGGCTTAAATGGGATTTGCGCATATAATGTGCTCAATCGATACTGACTAAATAAGAGTAGCATTTCCATTCATGTTAACCCGTCTCTTCTCTCATCAGTTCAGATTTGAAGACTTTGACAAGATCAAGCTCAGAGAAGAAGCAACAAAGGCGCTCCTATGTTGGTAAAAGAAGATGAAAGGACATGATTTGGGAAAGGACTGTCTGGCATCTGGTTCTGCGTACAGGGCCGTACCGTCCAGAGAGACCCTCCCCGGACCTGAAGCGGACCATTACGAGCTGTCTAAATTGCAGGTTAGTCCATCATTATCGTGGCATGTGTTTTCAGATTTGTGATTAGACATCAAATGTTTGAGTTCTACTTCTTGTTGAGCATCCACTCATACTACAAAACACCATACAAATACTCAACTCGTAAACTCTTATAAATGGGAATCATTTCTTATGGCCCGTTCAAGCCAAGGATGGTAAAGATAAAGTTGTAATAATCGTTCTAATTCTGTGAGAATAGGCAAGTTCACACCACAGCTGAAGAAGAACAATATCATTGAAGTCCCTTTCAGAACGTTTTTTTTTCCAGATGATGAACAAGAAAAACATTGACAGCCAATCAGAATCCATTTCTGATTGGCATTTAAAGCAGCAGACAACAAAACTGCACCGTGCTTATAATCAACAGAGCTTTATCATACATTGGTGTGGACGCTAATATAGTTATTGTTATAGTTATCATTATTGGTGTGAATGGGCCTTTTTTTAGCGGACCATTACGAGCTGTCTAAATTGCAGGTTAGTCCATCATTATCGTGGCATGTGTTTTCAGATTTGTGATTAGACATCAAATGTTTGAGTTCTACTTCTTGTTGAGCATCCACTCATACTACAAAACACCATACAAATACTCAACTCTTAAACTCTTATAAATGGGAATCATTTCTTATGGCCCGTTCAAGCCAAGGATGGTAAAGATAAAGTTGTAATAATCGTTCTAATTCTGTGAGAATAGGCAAGTTCACACCACAGCTGAAGAAGAACAATATCATTGAAGTCCCTTTCAGAACGTTTTTTTTTCCAGATGATGAACAAGAAAAACATTGACAGCCAATCAGAATCCATTTCTGATTGGCATTTAAAGCAGCAGACAACAAAACTGCACCGTGCTTATAATAAACAGAGCTTTATCATACATTGGTGTGCACGCTAATATAGTTATTGTTATAGTTATCATTATTGGTGTGAATGGGCCTTTTTTAAAAATAAATCATTCTATTTACAAAAATGCTGCAACTGAATGGTTTTCATGACTATTTATTATTGCTTCATGAACCTCAGCATAATTTTTTTTGTGGACGTGGACAAAATTCATTATTACATGTACTGCTCTTTGCCTTATTGAGAGGTATTAAAGGGATAGTTCTCCCAAAAATGAAAATTCTGTCATTAATTACTCACCCTCATGTTGTTCCAAACCCGTAAGACCTTCGTTCATCTTCGAAACACAAATTAAGATATTTTTGATGAAATCTGAGAGCTCTCTGACCCTCCCATAGACAGCAAGGGTACTACCACGATCAAGGCACAGAAACGTAGCAAGGACATCGGTAAAATAGTCCATGTGACATCAGGGGTTCAACCGTAATTTTACGAAGCTACGAGAATACTTTTTGTGCGCAAAGAAAACCGTAATAATATAATTTATTCAGAGTTCTTCTCCCCGAGATACCGTCTTCCGCCATTTTGGAGAGTACCTCAGAACGTAATTAACGCAATCAGTGTTGTTTATGTTCTGCATGCGCGCACTGTCTACTAACGGGAAAGCACGCGCATGCTGACGTAAACAATGCTCATTGCGCTGATTATGTTCTGGGGTACTCTCCAAAATGGCGGAAGACGGTAACTCGGGGAGAAGAACTGCTAAATAAATTGTTGTTATTGTTTTCTTTGCGCACAAAATGTATAAAAGCTTCGTAAATTTCCGGTTGAACCCCTGATGTCACATGGACTATTTTACCGATCTCCTTGCTACGTTTCTGTGCCTTGATCGTGGTAGTACCCTTGCTGTCTATGGGAGGGTCAGAGAGCTCTCAGATTTCATCAAAAATATCTTAATTTGTGTTCCGAAGATGAACGAAGGTCTTACGGGTTTGGAACGACACGAGGGAGAGTAATTGCTGACAGAATTTTCTTTTTTGGGTGAACTAACCCTTTAAAGGAATCATTCATGCGAATGATTCTTCGTTCTTTATTCATTAAAGAACTGAGATTGTTAGCTAGCTATAAATCCAAATTGTTAAATCCTTACAATTCCCATCCCAATATATTTTCCTCTCTATATATACATTAAAGCCATTTTGAGTACACCCTAAATATACCGCATGCCCCATTGAGTGATGTTTTCCCAAAGTGCGTGCAGTTCGTGTGCTCGATGGAAAATGAAAATTCAGTCATCATTTAATCAATCCAAACCTGTATGACTATTTTTGTCTTATGTGCAACACAAAAGAAGATTAAACCATTTTCGTCCATACAATGGAAGTCAGAGAGGTCCAAAACAACTCTGGACTGCACTGACTTTCATTGTATAGGCAAAAAAAAAAACCTTGAGATAAGCATACAGGTCATACAGGTTTGGAACAACATGAAGGTGAGTAAATGATGCCAGGATTTTAATTTCTGGGTGAACTAGTTCATTAACATTAAAATGCTGCAGCTGTTGTTTGTGTTCATAAAGGTAGTCGTGTCATTTGTATTGTCCGTCGCGCTCCTGCCGTCAGCATTTTGTCGGCATGTTAAGAGAGGGTCCTGTGCTGCCCACAATTTTCTTTGTCTTTTTCCATCACACTACCTTTCTCTCTCTCTCTATCTCTCAGCCACTCAGTTCATCACTAGTGATGCCGTGTTTGCAGGCAGTGCTTGTGATTGGCTGCTCAGCTTGTATTTAGAAGCTGGATCTGTTTACATAATCTAGTCCCACCTTATTTGGCACGACAGCCAATTGCGATCCTGGGTTCCGGTGATGCATCCAGCAGCCTTGCCTTCTGATAGGCCGATGCCCCCCTCAGCGCTCAGGCAAGCTGTATGTTTGTGCAACGTGAGCGCGTTAGAGGGACATGGAGAGTGGTGAGGACAGGAAGGGAGGGGGACGTCCTGCACGTGCTGAGGAGCATTGCAAATCGCTTCACGACAGGCTTCTCTCATTCATCTAATCCAGCCAGACATGTCAGAATCTTCACAGTTTCTCCCCCTTTTTTTTCCCCTTTTTTTTTTTTTGTAGCGCAAGGCTGACTTACCTCGAGGCGCTTTAACATGAGTGTTACGTAAATAATGTGATGCATTTCACTGTTGTGTAAGTAACGTACACAAAAGTGCTGTTATTCTCTGTTCATTTCTCGAGTTTCTGTTTTCTGGAACCTGAGCTGTCGTTCTCAGCGTGTCTTTGGTTTCTAGATCGTTCTGTTTCCTGCATTCTGATCAGTCCCAGATAAGGCTTCTTTTTTTCTTCTCCCCAGCCTGTTTCCCATGAGAGCTTGCGACAGAGTTGCTAAAGCTGTGCTGATTCGTGGGGCAGCTGGCTGACAGACAGAAGAAAATTAGCTTTGTGTATTTCTGTGCGTTTGAAATGTCCTCAGATCTTTTCTGTGTAAAGAGATATAGGGTGCTATGACTGCGGAATCCAGTCATGAAAATCTAATTTAGTGTTTAATGTGGAATGCCACAGAATTTTGCACATTTTGAAGAAAAGTTTACAGAAATATATTACTGTTGTACAGTAGAATGTAATAATAATACAAAGAAAGTAATATTAATACAAGTTATTGAAACATAATTTTAAGAAATTTCACACAATGTCAAATTTTTTTGTCCGTGTTTGAATTTAAAAAGTAAACCTCTGTTGTGCAGGCAAAACCAAAAAGAACTGTTAAGGGAAAAGTTCACCCAAAAATGAAATTTTTGTCATCATTTACTCACCCTCATGTCGTTCCAAACCTGTATGAGTTTCTTTCTTATATTTAACATAAAATAATATTTTGAAGAATGCTGGTAATCAAACAATTGATGGTCCCCATTGACTTCTAGTATTTCTTTCCCTATGGAAGTCAATGGGGACCAAAAACTCGTCAAAATATCTTCTTTTGTGTTCAGCATAATCAAGAAACGTATACAGGTTTGGAATGACATGTTCGTGAGTAAATGATGACACAATTTTTCTTTCACTTTTTCAAAAAAAAAAACATTTTTGGGTGAACTGTTCCTTTAAATTGTTCATTTTGATTTAAATTTAAATAAAATTAAGTTGTTGAAGTTTTATGCATTCATTTGATTACCGCTGTTTTTGATAATACATTTGTATTTAATCTTAAAACAAAGAATGCAGAAAAATTAAAACGCAACACAGAATTTGCCCATCATTCGGGCGTACTTAATTCATCACAGATGCATGCAAATGTATAAATGAATCTGATTCTGTGGACAGAATCCATTAAAATATGGAGTCCTACATTTTTATTCACACATGACTACCATGTTTTACTTTTAATTACTAAAGTTCTATCATAAAAAACGCTGGATTGACTGATGTTAAAAGTGTCGTTGTTATGCTTTCTGATGTTGGAATTATTCATGTATGTGTGATATTGCTCACACACACAAGCCCAATTTTCTTTTCTTTTTTTATTTTATAGACAAAAAACACTATCCCACATTCTGCCCACGCAATGACCATCAAATAAACGTGCCAACTGAATGCTATGAAAACAACAAATTATTATACCACCTGTCATAATAAAGAGAAAACAAAGATTTTAGAAATCTGTCAAAAATTGTTTAAATCTAAAAATGTTATTGTGTGGTAAGTAGTGCCGCTACATAGTAGAGTAGGCTACGTGTGATCGCGAATCTCGAAAGTGAAAGTAAAAGCAAACGCGCATTCATAAGTGATTTCAATGTCCTGCATATTAATAACGGCTCCCTGATGCCCGCAATTTATATACAGGATAATTACCCAACGATAATTGTGAGAGAAAGCATTGAAATATATATTTCTCGTATATCTCGTATTTATTCCCTTTAGGGGTGCCGTAGTGCACGTCATTACCTTTCTGAATACCGGATTTGGATTCGGGCACACCCCTAATTAACATAATAACAAAAATGGCCTCCTATGCCTTTATGTACTTTTTGACTGTAAATGGTATCTGAAAAAAAAAAACACTATAAAGCGCTTGACTATTTATTTTTTTCTGCCTTTTTTGTCATAGATAACAGCAATTATTATATTATAGCATTAGAAATAG